CTTTTTTAAGTTAGCCGCGCATACATCACCATAACAGCCTGCGCATGTCGTCACGTCCTGAAATCGCGTTCACTGACTCGCGCTTTTATGTCACACACCACTAAATCAGAATGTCATAGGGTTGAAACATCGCCAGTAACTGCCTATACGGACTGAGAGGCGACACTTTGAGGTAGGGGGTCTCTATGAAAATGCTTGAAAAGGTGGTGGCCGCCGAAAGGATATACAGCATATCTGTGAGTCATTTGTTTTCAAAAAAGCGTATATTTACTTTCATTGATATATATAACAACTATATGTGTTAGGATTAACAAATATATATTTCATTTGTATTTTTAGGTGTTTGGAGCTCAACTCCTAAGTGTCGGTGACTTTAACGTTTAAAAAAAGACATAAATGATATCGGACCCACCGCACTGCGTTGCAATCGAATCCACCGCCGGCTGCGTTGTAATCATTTTTTGTCAATTCTTTTATTATAATGGTAATATCAATTTCCAAAAGTTCCAAAATATGGTTGTTTTGTGTAATTATCATACATACGATGCGATGCCAGTGTATCTAGTGGTAGTTTTGAGTACATATGTAGTGTTATAAACAAAATTAGGCAAAAGTGGCGTCCCCTCGTCAAACTGTACATAAGTGTTTGCATAACTGGTCATGATTTGCACCCCATGCGTGTAATAAGTTGGAAGAGTACATATATGGGCTCCAGTCTCACTAGGTGTTATCAGTAGAACATAAAAACATAACGTACAAATAAGTCATAAACTTACCGACACCAGCAAAAAGCTATCCGACAGCCATGTTTTTCCACCGCTTCTGCGACGAAATCTCCATCGCCGCACCGGTAGACCCACCGCTTCTGCGAAAGCTATGGCCAGTGTGACCTTATACTAAACATCTTGCTTTTTAAGTACAATAAAAATCTAGTGAACAATATTATACCCTGTCTGTGATAATATTATCATCCACCTTTATCATGTGTTTTTTGTGCGGTGAATGAAAAGAATATGTTCTGACTTTTGGTACTCAGTTATATAGATACTTGCGGAATATAAACATTTATAGATTTACTTGCAATCAGTGTTGGCGTATCATTCAGCTTGCTAATGAAAATGATTATCAAATGTTGATAAATTATTCAGGTATAAGTTGATTAAATAATAGACTAAATTGAATCTGATTTAAATCAACTATTTAAGCACTGAATATGATAAGCATCAGCGTTAAGTTTAGTTCTACATTTATCGTCATAAGTGATATAATTTATTGTCATTGATAGTCCTCAATTTTCTTGACTTATTGCATGAGATTTCGTCATATATGTACCTATAAATGTCTTTGTTAACTTGTAGGAATCTTGATATTTCGATTTCGAGTTAAGGTTTCTGTATGCAAGTGATATTTTAAATGCATTGCATATTGCGATGTTGGATAAATGTAAATATTTCACTAAAGTTCAATGTTATATATAATGTATCTGCCTTTTCTGATCTTGCATATATGTTTGTAATATAATTTGTATATATGTTCATACTGTTCAATTTTGGAGGAAATAAAATTATCTAATATCTTTTACCTGCTGCCTGAATCTAAACAAAGATACGGTAAAATACTTCTAGACTTTTTTTAAACAAATTTAAACATTTGTATGTTAAAAGTCAAAAATAATGTTTCCATGATTTCATATTAATTTCCTCAAACGGTAACCTAGCATTCTTTGATAATTTTATGTTAAGAGTGTTTCAGATTTAATCTCTTATGAAGGTGGTATTATCTCAATTATCTCTAGCTGTTTTTCCAGATTATTCGTTATTAGCTTGGAACATTGCTTTAGATTATAATTGTAAGTAGTCATAAGGTAGTGGGTTTAACCAAAGTCAATTCTAATAATGTATTAAAAGACTGAAGTTAAAATGATATACTCTGAAACATGTAAAACAATATTTAGCAGCGTCAGAACCCAGTCAAATTTTGATGTTGTAACATTAAAATAATAAATCTAGTGATCAATTATACCTTGAAAACTATAGCTGGGTGATGTTTGTCGTGCGAAAAAAGGGCATTGTTAGCTTGCAATGATACTAGTCTTGTAACAAAATAAACAAACAAACTACCTTACAGGCAATTTTATTGTGAATCGTAAGGTAACCCAAGAAGGCTAAGCATTGCCATTTGGTACTCATTAAAATCATAGTTGCTTAAAGAATGAAAAGTTAGTCACTCCAGTGTTATGAAATTTATTGGTAAAATTGGGATCAACTGCTCAACAGGTAACGCAATATCAATAGATATCGTTACGTCTGATGGGTCTGTGTTGCATGATTTGTATACCATACTTGAAAAAAAAATGAGAACATGATTTAATCTCTCTTTATCAGACTCCTCACATATGTGTACAGGTAAAATAGAAGTGTTAAAAGGACTTCACTGAAGTTTTTTTACATTAAGCTAATGGAAATATTTTCCCCAGATTTGTATTCCATTTGACATAGGTCTAAGCCAGTAACTTGTGTGCAAATTTCGATCATTTTCTTTTTGAGCTGTTTATGTACATAAATTTAGTTTGCGTCTTTTGCACAGCCATTAATTAGGTTTATTATGGACAATTGCTTTTTATTTATAGTGGCCAAGTAATTTGAAAAAGCAAACCATTAATGTTGAATTTAGATTTACTTGTTAGTTTAAAGTTTATACCCTCGTCTTTATATTACATCTTTAATTTGCCATAAAGACCTTATATTCATCTGTTATGTCATGTGTACTTGTAAATACTTTTAAAACTGAAACGTTTGATGTAAAGGAGCGCGAATAAAGATGATTAAATAAATATATTCTTTGAGAATTTGAAGGAAATAGTTATAAGCATTACTTAAGATAACTCAAAACTTTAATACATTTTAATAAATTGCACTTTGGAGTTGTTTAAAATCACATCTTTATGCGAACTATTCAGCAGCATGAAAAAGAATTTAAGATTTTGTAGAGATGCGTTATTACTTCTCTATATTCTATCCATGCTCACCTAACACATCCGAGGCAGGCTCTTTGCGAAGCACACGACAGGTCAAGGTCAAGTCATCCTAAGTACCAGGGATTGTTGTTTGACATGTCGTGACTAATTTAGGAGTGGGGGTGTTTTGTTGGAAAGAAATGCCTTGGATGAAGTTGTCGTCGCACATGTTAGAAAGAGAGTGCAAATCATTGAACAAACATTCCACACCCAAAAACGATATAATTAAAATACAAACCACTATTGTGCTTGTACTTATATACTAGTATACAGAGAATTGAAAAATCAGCAGTGTTTTGTACACGAATCTGACAGAATTATTAGTGCAAATATTTTATTCTTTCATTCGCTTACCCGAAATTAAGGGAAAGTAATAGTGTTTTCTTTTTCCAGTACATGTACATACATGTATATACAAGATTGATATAATGTTAATGTACAGCACGTGTTTTACGTGCATATACATAATTATAATATAAATTGAGAGTGTGCATGGATATATGCCCGGAAATGAAATCTAATGTAAGAGAGATAGCTATTTTGATATACGGTACATGTAGGTATATCTATCAATCTTAGTGTATATATACATGTGTACTTTTCACTCTCGTGTATATAAATCTACCTTCAAAATTGGTTTTCAGCTAACAAAATGTATGCATTCTTAATTTAGCGGGATCATTTTTACGTAAGAAACCGTGTCGCTCAAGCTGGAACAACAATGACATGAGCCACAGGCATAAGTCTTGCCATCATAATCTGCCCTTGATCAATGTTTTAACAAGTCTGGAACGATTTGACTTACTGTAAAATTTACAGGGAAGAACTGAATATTAGTAGAATTATCATTGCTTATTTTAAAACTGCAAACTGAAATCATGGAATCTCACTGGCCCTTCTAAAATTAGGGATCATTCTCACACGAAGACACGTCCAAATTGTGAAATAATCTAAAGGAGTGTCGGGAACAAACATTCTTGTTCTTGGATTTTCCTCCAAATAAAATATTTTACACTGCTTTTAAAACATTCATTAATTTTCTTGTGACTAGCTTATTCAACATAAGAATCTACTTATTTATACATGGCATTCTATAAGTCGTGTGAGACTACCATACCGAAAGAAAACAATAAAAAAATCCGATCTTTTCTGGTACACTCAGTGGATGATAATTGGTGTGCGATATAAATTTCAAAATTTTGATATATTTTAGCATACAAATCTTGCATCTAAAAATTAAATGTTATTACAAAATTCCGAGACTATGCGAGTAATACGTCCGAGTATACTTTTAAAGATACTTCTTTATGAATGACCAGTGTAAAATGTATGTTTATGGAAGTTTGGTTGGCATAACACATGTCGACCTCGCAATTTAAAGGTAATTTTTCAAGTTTAAAGTTTATTTCATTCATTGTATATGATGCCTCAATATTTTCAACGTTCACATAAAGATATATCTATTGTGCTATGTTTGCATGTACATATGTATGATAATACGTCTTTTTTATAAATGCGAGAACAAATGTTGACCGTGTCGGGAAGGAGCTACGGTGAGTTATATACCTTGTATATACATGCATTATATACTGAACCAAAAAAGAAACTTTCGCAAAGTAGTTGCCAGTTGTTCAAGGGTACCACTTAGATGTACACATTTATATACATGTAGTAGCTGCAAAGTCGGTCAGCTAATCCCCGTATAAAATCCCGATATGTTTATTCAACGTAAAAATCGAGTTTCAAAAGGATTGAAAAACTGTACTAACATATCTACATTCAAACTTGGAGAAAGTTTCTTTTTTGTTTCAGTATATATAGTAATTGATGATCAAGGGGAGATTATTTTGTGATATTTATTTACCAAGACAAATATGCCCGAACGCCTGTGCAATGAGCGACTTCTGTAATTATAATGATTATTTAACATTGGGGATGATGATTTCATGTCTTTTATGAGTTAAATTTGATAAAATAAATAACACAAGTTTGAAAGAATGTAATTTCTATTGTAAATAGTATTATGAGAAATAAATTGCACATTCACAAGTAATAAAATGAAACAAAGATCATAACATACAAATTCATATAAAAGTAAAAGATGTTGTTCTAATTTAAATATTGTCATATTATTAAGCATGTTTGATATTATTATATAATAAAATTAGAATTAGCATGTTAGAATATCAAACAACATAAAAGAAGAATTAGCGGATTTTCAAATACTCTTCCATACCTATCTAGAAATGTCAGCAAGGTGGTTCAATTTTAACTACGTTCTGTAGAAATTGTATTTTTTTAAATTTCAACTTGCCCGATGCCAACTAAATTGATATTACAATGTGATTATGTCTTTAACATAAGAAGTAACAAGGAATATAGAGTTAAGATTAAAGAATGACAATGTGCACTATATGCTGTATAAACTAAGTTGAATTATCTTTATGTTTTTAACTAGTAGATCATGCTAATTTTTGTGGCCTACATCTGCCACAACACAGAATGTATGTAAAAATACATCAAAAGTTCTACTATATACATATGTCAAGTTCATTTCCTTGGAATCAATAAACAGCACTTCCTTTCAGTTTTATACAACACTATATATATATATATATATATATATATAAGTGATTTCCTAAATAAGTAACAACACTGTAATCTAGTGCACACTATTTTGGTTTAATAAATATTCTTTTCCTAAAAACAAGTTACACTAATATTTACAACATGTTCAGTATGCAAGCTTTCAATTTGAATATAGAAATTAAAATACATCCTACAAAGGTTCCACTTTTTTATTCAATTTTAAATTATAATTATTTGTTAATTGATCTAGTTGAACAATTTAGATGTCTCACTCTATGTGAACTGTTAAGGAGTTTCGAATAGGATTCTTGACCAACGTGATTACACTTAGAGATTACTAATTTAGTCTAAACCAATCAGATTTCATCAGAAAAATTCACATCCTAAAATGAGTAAATCAGATCAACTGATTATATTACAAATAACAAAGTTAACATGTGTTAAAATCAGTGTAAAAAAAATTAATAAAAAAATAAAGATTTGGGAATGGGGTGATGAAAATGAAATGTGCACACTCAGTTTGAATTAACATGTTCATGAGGGATAAAGTTGTTATGGAAACAAATCAAAATGAATTTTGTAAATAGTTTTTGTAAAGTAACTTTTATAGAGGGTCACCTAATGATCATTCCTGTGATGTTTGGTAAAAAATCAATAAGTGGTTTAATATGATAATACATGTATGTTGAGTGGTTAATGATAATATGATGAGTGGTTTTTGATAATATGTCGAGAGGTTTACGATATTAAATATGTCCTTACAACAACAGCAACAAACTATTGACGAAGACACTGCTATCACAAAAACTCACCTTTGAGCACTTTGTGCTTCGGTCAGGTGAGTTAAATAATCAATACTCTTGAGCAATATTAAGACATTTTTACTGATACTAAATGTACATTGACCATCACAAATACCTTTCCTTTGCTATTGTGGACACATGAATTTTTCCTTTTAATGAATCTGGAATGTTTTTAAACACTTTTTCTTGGATATAATCACAGGAGTATTTGTCTGACATGTGTATCAATAGTATATTGTCAACATTTTTAAACAGGTGAGCATTTTCATAGATTTCAGACAAATGTATATGACCCCATTTTCTAGCCTGCTGTACCCGTGTTTCAATATTGCAGTCATCATTTATATAAGTAGCCTCTACAATCAGTAATTTCACGCAAAACAAATCTGGTGGAGGAACATACACTTCATCTGTAAAAACTTGAAATGTTGTATCTCCTGCAATACAGATATATATTAGATATCATATGTAGAATAGGCTAAACCAGGACATAAACATCCTACTGTACAGTCATTATAAAACTTAATTGCTAAAAATTAATTATGTTAATGTTTGTTTGTTTGTTTCATTTTAAGCCTTTTCCCAACAGTATTTCAGTCATATAGGGGGGTATAACCCACTTAATAATACATGCTATTTTCATACCATGTATCTAATGTTACCTTCCCTGGTCTACAGTCTGTCCAACCTACCGACATGTGCAAATCAATATACCCCCACTTCTTGGAATGGGGGCATAATTAGACTTGCTGACACTCTACATATTTTGTTTACTTATGCATAAGTCTCTATCATATAATCAACTGCAAAATGACAACAAGGTTCCTTGTAATTTAAGACAAAAGTTGTGAGAATGTTTACCTGTACATATACTTGTAATCTTACCTGTAAAGGCAATCTCTGGTGTAACAATAGGTTTTGTGTGAACAGTTTCTCCATCTCTTATTTTCTCTCCAATTTCTCTGGAAGAAAGGCCCTGATATTCTGCCTTTAACTGTTTTCTTGCTTTATACACAATGTATCCCTGACTTTTCACCCTATGAACTGTGGGAAATATATTTGCATGGTAACCTTTATTAAGCTGAAATAAATCATTAAATTATTAACATGATTTTTTTTTTTAAAAAGTAATCAGATATTTTTTACATAAAAATCCAAATTTAAACTCAAGTGCCTCATTAAAAGTTTCCATCAAATTGTAGACAATGCAGTTTTTGTTTCCTTCTTAGTTTGTCATGCTTTGTATCATTTCCATTGCTACAAAGTACAAGGTACAAAATTTACTGTAGTAAAACTGATAATTATGATAAGTTAATATTCACTTTATTTACATATGCCATTGAAGGACATTTTTTTATATTTATGAGTTTGCAGTGTTTCTCAAATTCAACAGTGAAGAAAGTTGGGTTTTTTCCACATATTTTGTCTAGGTAGCTTCAATGTACATAGCCAAATATTTTTGCACTATTCAGTTCTATGGTTAATATCCAGCAATTTTCTGCTGACTGATCCAAAACCATTAATGTTCACTAACTATGACCAACCTCCTTATAAATCTTAGGACTGTAGGCCAAAGCATTCACACGTTATTGGTTGGGCAAGCATTTTGTTGTATATTCCTGGTAACAAAACAAAGAAAATCTAGAAGAAAAACTATTTAACAAACCTCACTTCATTCTGTGAAGTGACCTATATACTTTGACTGTATAGAGATAATTCTCATATAATATAATATATAATTGTGACAATTGTTGTTCAATCAAAATAGGTGTTCCAAATATGCACCATTATAATTGTTTGTAGATAAATATGAACTAGACCTATCACTGAAGGTGATTAATACCCCCACCAACAAATTTGACTTTTTGAAAAAAAAAGTAGTCTGAAGAAAAATTTGAACACAAACTATCAACTGTGTACAAAGAAATATTTCAATTAATTGTAATCGCAACTGGGGTCTCGAAATAAGCTTGCTATACACCAAGTTTGATTACAATATCTCACTCCTAACTCTAGTTATTGTCAGGAAACCATTTTTTCTATTTTTAGTAACACTGTAACAGTGACCTTGACCCTAGGGGGTCCAAATGCAATACCAACCCAGGTCTTCATATAAGCATCCTTTACACCAAATAAGATTACAATATCTCATTCCTAACTCTAGTTATTGTCCGAAAACCATTTTTCGTAACGGTGACCTTGACCTTGACCCCAGGGGGCCCAAATGCAATACCAACCAAAGTCTTCATATAGGCTTGCTATACACCAAGTTTGATAACAATATCTCATTCCTAACTCTAGTTATTGACGGAAACCATTTTTCTATTTTTAGTAACACTGTAACGGTGACCTTGACCCTAAGGGGTCCAAATGCAATACCAACCCAGGTCTTCATATAAGCTTCCTTTACACCAAATTAGATTACAATATCTCATTCCTAACTCTAGTTATTGTCCGGAAACCATTTGTCTTTTTTTCCTAACGGTGACCTTGACCTTGACCCCAGGGGGTCCAAATGCAATACCAACCCAGCTGTTCATATAAGCTTGCTATACACCAAGTTTGATTACAGTATGTCATTCCTAAGTGAAGTTATTGTCCGGAAACCATTTTTCTATTTTTAGTAACAGTGACCTTGACCTTGACCCCAGAGTGCCCAAATGCAATACCAACCCAGGTCTTCATATAAGCTTGCTATACGCCAAGTTTGATAACAATATCTCATTCCTAACTCTAGTTATTGTCCGGAAACCATTTTTCTATTTTTAGTAACGGTGACCTTGACCTTGACCCCAGGGGGTCCAAATGCAATACCAACCGGAGTTTCCATATAAGGTTGCTATATACCAAGTTTGATTACAATACCTCATTCCAAACTCTAGTTATCGTCCGGAAACCATGATGTGGACCGACCGACGGACGGACGGACCGACCGACAAGCTGACTCCTATATACCCCCCCTAAACTTCGTTTGTGGGGGTATAAAAATTGACACATTCACTGTCTTTTACATGTACATTTGAATGATAATGTTTCATTACTTAGACATTAGATGTTCAAAACTATATCACAAAAGATGAATAACAAGCAACCAACCTTAATTTCATCACCTGGATCTACCCCAACAATGCATGGATATTTTAAACCTTCTGAGTTTTCACATATTTTAGCATATGTTGTGCAAAGTTCCTTTACTTCCTCAACAAGATATTTTGGTACATAGTAGGAGGCTTGTTTTGCACCATAAAGTTCCCGCTTTTTTATATGCTGAGGCACAGATGATATGTGATCCATATGTCCATGACTGCAAACATATTTTATACATATCTATAATCATTATGATTATTCAATCAATCACTTGATACTAAATATAATAAACTTCAGATATAATGATGATACCACTTTAATAAGTTACACGTAGCTGTGTTTGACCCGTCTTTTAAGATTAGGTGACAAGAAGATTTCCAACAATGAGGTATGGATTTCTTAGAGGGTCAGTGTTTAACTTTAGACCGTGTAAAGGAAAGGCAAGACTTCAGATGACAGTGTTAATGCAAGAATAATTGGCTCTATCTTATTGAGGTCCCTCACCCTGTGTGTGTTTAGGTTGATCGAAAGTCTTTATGCCATTGGCACTTATTTAATTGTTTGGCATTCTTGAAGACTTGTGTTAATCTATTAATTATTATTCAGCAATTATTGTACACTATAATAGAATAGAAGAACAAAATACATGACTCATTAATCAAGTAATATTAGTAAAAAATCTGGATATTTGCACATAGTGACTTTTGCTGCCTATAGTTGGATTGACCTTTTTTAAAACCTAGCTAAACTGTTAGTAAACACCATTTTCCGGTACATTGAGGATTTAGCTCTGGGGAATAATCCGAATTACACCAAATGAAGTACATAACACAATTACAGGGTATTTCTATTTTTCTAACATTTTTTACCATTTAAGGCGAAATAAATTGATTATTTTGCACAAAGAGAATATATTTATAATTACAGGGAAATAAATGAATGGAGATAATTCAATGTGTATATGTGAATTTGCATAGTTACCTCCAGTAAACAATGTAAAATTAAGACTGTATTAACATGTCTGTAAAAGAGTCTTTGGATGTTCTTGGGGTGTCTTGGTGTATCTAAGGGTAGTCTTGGGGTAGTCTATGGGTGTCTTTGGGTAGTCTTTGGGTGTCTTGGGGTAAATAGACCGACCCAATAAATTGTTTATAATAAAAATCAATAAATTTAAAACAGTTGTACTTTGTAGTATAATCTGCCATAATAAATACTCTTAATAGAGATATTTTCTTTGTAAACTTGTGTATTTACTTTATTTTTAGTTGTCACAAAGTGAAATTACGTTTGTAAAATCTTGCATTATATTTTCACGCCGAACCTCATTTTTACTCTATATTCATTGATGTGAGATTGCATCATCTTTTGTTCAATTTAGAGTTTTTGGGTGAAATTATTGTTTAGAGTATTTTTATGGTTTGCATAAATTTCCATGTCTCAATTTAAACATTTTGCCGTTTATTTCACAAAAATCCTTGCAGTAATAAGAAAGTTACATTTTTGTTTTATTAACCAGATATATGTATTATGTCTGTATTTGAAGGACGGGCCTTTATTTTACATAACTATTTTTCCCGCCGTCCCAGCTTTATTTCGTGCAAATCGATTGTTCATGTTTTGCACGATCCGTTTTCCCGCTCAGTACTCAGTAGTTTGCTATATATTGACTAAATTTTAAGTGACATATTGTAATGCACTGGACGTTATACAGGTCACTATGACGGTGACAGACAAATTATATTTGTCATAAAATTACAGCTTGTACAAGGTAAATTTAATTTTCTAGTGATTTTGTTTCATAAATTTTTGCTATTTCGTAAAATACTATTTTCTATTAGAATTATAGTTTATTTGATTCAGGTTTAGTTATTTGGCAGTAATTTATTGTTTTCTTAATTTTCTAAATTTTTGCAGATTAAATTTTAAAAGCTTTCTTTTATTCTAGTGTTTCGCTAATGCAAATTTATACCGAGACATGTTAATTGATGTATGTTAATTGAAGTTTTAATTATATTGTAATTGTATAGGAGCCATGAATATTTTATAGATCTATATATATCTATTCATAAATAATTTATTATGGTTCTACCGTATTTGTGTAACTTTATGTAAAATGCTGCAGTATCGCAATGATTTGTTTCAATCAATTTAATTTTCGTTATAATCTTACTTCATTTCATTTATCATCAGTTTTTGTTATAAGTAAATACAACGTATCAAAACTAACGTATCTCTAGAGAAGGATCTTCAGTGGCATGATTTTGGAAGACGTTTATTTATTGGTGGTTATTATGTGGCGTATATTTGAATATATTTGCAACGCAGTATTATGCGGATATGATTGAATTTTTGTTCCACGGAATGTATGGTGTATTATAGTGAACATTTTGTTTATTCAAAGAAGCACGTTATTTTATTTGAAACCGACAAAGGTCGAGTCTTTTCCAAGGGACTTTATCATACCCTTATGTTTGATTATCATGGAACTTACCATGTTTTATACTTTGTAGCTTCTTATTTGAGGACACACCCGAAGATGACACGGGCCCTCCACACGTATGTCCATGGCTAAAGGGTGACGCATGCCCTTGTTCAGGATCCTATCAACTGTGCCAACACTGTAGGAAGTACAGTTACGCTTGATAAGATTTTATACAAGACGCCCGCCATTGTGACGAATTTTGTTTTACAACGCCACCACTTTATTGAAGCATCATGACAGAAACTTTACGGGAGAAATAGACTGAGATACGTTGATAGTGTTTGTTTGTGCAGTGACTTATCAAAGTACTTTTCATATATAATCATTTTTCATTTATAAATATTCATTTATTGTAAATAAATTTGTATATATTTTTCTGTTCTGAGTTGTTGGTTGTTTTAAATAGCAATTGTGGTCGGCCTGGTATCCCAGCGTAGTCCCTATTGTGACATTAGTACAGTATGGAATTATTCATACAATGATATTTAATTATTTTGTTACAAAGAAATATCTGTTTTACTTAACTTTAATTAAAAGAAGACCAAAAACATAGAGTTCGTTATTACACTCCATTACATGTAGGTGAATTCCCCAGAGCTATGTATAGAAAGTACCGGAAAACAGAGTTTAGCTAGGTTTTCATATTCGTGAATTACATGGCAGTGGTCAGGTGGTGGCGTTTAAACGGATCTATTTCTTATGATAGTTTCAGTTAGTATTAAGCATGTGCATTTTTCATTAATCTTTAATCGAATATGCAATTTCTTTCAAATCATTACTAATTACTTAAATCGTTTAAATGCATTAGATAGAGTCGGTCACTAGTATCACGGATTTATATAAATCCGTGCTAGTATGAAATAATAAATCATTATCAAATGCACCAAGGTAGATGAATTTATTTGAAAAAATTATTGATATTACCTGATCATAACTGATTTGCATTTGACATTTTCTCGACTTGAACAGCCCATATCAAAACAGCAAACAAAACCGTCTGCAGGATTCTTAACAACAACTGACGTCTCAATTCCAGATATTGACCAAGCAAAAACTTCAAAATCCCCAATCCTTACAAATTTTGGCTGAGCCATTTTTCGCTTGTTTATGACATGTCCGCCAAGACCTTCTTTACAATACGGGAAAACATTCGAACAAGGGTTTCAAAATTACCAGACTATATGATAAATTAATCAGAAAAAAGCTTTCGTTTTTGAAATACATAAACTTTAATCACTGCTGAATGCGTAATTTTCATTCTAAGAGTGCTTTCCCTTCTTTCAAATTGGGTTGGTTTCGGTGATCAAAAAACGGCAAGATGAAAATCGGGAACCCGAAAAAAATTTGAGAACAAAAATACGATTCGTCCACGGATGACCGGTCCAGAACGATATCCCCACATTTGTGACATTCGCCCCCCTTAATAGTTAAAAAAATATATAACGTTTTTCAAATCATTATATTGATAAATGATTAAATTAAATGTTTGTTTGGTATGTGCTGGAAAAAAATAACGGATATCAAATCTTTTTCTATAAAATTATTAAATTTCTTGTGGTTTAACTGAAAATTATTTATTTCACTTAAATTTTGTGACTAACCACCACCATCATGACATATTTGTAATCAACCCAAATGAGAAATTTAATCCTGTAATTAAATAGAAAAAATGTAATTTTCTGTTTAAATTTAAACAAATTTTTTCGATTAAAAATACAAATGTAAAAACTTCCTCGAGGGAAATTTTCGTGATTGTCGGAATTTTGGGGAAAAGACATCAGTGAAAAATACTGAAAAATGAAATTTATAACGCAGTTTATTTAACTTCATCAATATTTCTCTCAAAAATTTTATTTATAAGTTTTAAAGGGTATATATGAAAATGAATAATATTTTGTTTATTTCAGAGAACAGAAAGTTGGGTTGTCAAAAGTAAAGAAAAAAAGTTTTAAAAAAAGTTGCACAAAAAAAAAAGAAAAAAACCCCAAAAACCCAAAAACAACGCTCAAAAATACGCAGCCCCCACCCCCTTTCCCCCCGCCCCCTCCCTCAAAACACGAAATTTTTACCAGTTTTGTTTAAAAACGATTCGCCCAATTTATCATAACAACATTATCCAATCAAAATTTTCAAAAATTTTTAAGGTCTGGCCCCTTTTTTCCCCCTAAATTTACTATTAAAACCAACGAATAAATTTTGCAACATATAGTTTGTGTTTATCAAACTTTAAACGTTAATTAAGGGACTTTATAATCTCATTAAAAAAAACGACATTTATAAATTTTTAAATAAAAATAATTAAAAAAAATCATCATCAAAAACGTTTTAAACAAAAATTTTTTTTAAAAAAATATTGAATTCAAAATGTAAAGCACAAAGTTTAAAAACCTTTTTTATACAATTGTTAAAAGCTCTAAATTTAAAAAAGGCATAAGTGATAAATTTCTGGTAAAAGTTCCCCTTTTAAAAAATGTTTTTATTATTTTTAAACACAATTTTAAAAAGAAATTTTTTTCCCAAAAAAATATAATCAAAGAGCTAAAGATAAAAAAGGGTACCCCTTTTTTTTGTTTTAAAAAACTTGCCCTTTGCTTTGAACAGATAAACCCCGGGTTTTATCATTTTTAAAACTGGTTTTTTTTAAAAGGCAAAGGGGTTTTGGAAAATAATTTTTTTTATCCAAAAAATTTTTCAGGGTAAATCAAATTGGGCCCAAAGTTTTCTAATTTCATGCAATTTTTTACTAAAATCTTTTTGAAATAAAAAATATATTTTCCCCCAAAACCCACAGGATTGCAAAAAAATTATATTAAATCATGGCCCACCCCTTTGTAAAATTTTTAAAAATCCAAAACAGTGTTTTTTTTTTCCCCAATTTTTTAAAAAAAAAATTAAAAAAAAAGCCCCTACCCTTTATATTTTAAAGGGGGAAATTTTGCCGGTTTTTTTTCGTTTTTATTTTTTAAACGCAAAGTTTTTTAAAAAAAAGGAAAAAAAACCCAAAAAAAATTTTTTCAAATATTTCAGCAAAAAAATTTTGAAATTTTGAAAAAAAACAATTTAAACCTCTTTTCGTTATTTTAAAATTTAAAAACCCCCAAATGAAAATTTAAATTTAATTTTATCCTTTTTACCCAACCCGATATAAATAACACTTTCTACCCCTTTAGGAACGGTTTTTACCCGTACGCGTTTTTATTTCAGGTAAAAATTTTCAAAATGGGAAATTTTTTAGGAAAAAAAAGTAGCGAATTTTTTATTCAGGTTTCCAATTTTTTTCAATTTGTTTTAGTTTTTTAAAAAAATTTTTTTTCTTTTTCTTGTAAGGGAAAAGAATCCGAAACTAGTCAATTTTTAAATTTCTTCAGACCCCCGCCCAACCCCAGATTTATCTTTTTATTCTCCATAAATTCAGATTTTAAAGGTTTTTAAAATTTGAATCGAGAGAACCAAATTTTGTTTCCCCATTTTCCCAAAATTAAATTTAAGCATCCTTTATAAAATAAATCTAAAAAGGTTGGGCCTTTGTGTTTTAAAAACGTTTAAAAAAAATGACCGATTAAACCCTATTTTTTTCCTTTTGGAAAAAAAATTTTTTTGGGAAAAAAATAAAAAAAATTTTTAAACAGTATAGAGCGGGGTTTAAATTTTTAAAAGGGTTACAGCATGGCCCCAAAAGCAAAACTTTGATCCAATTTTTTTTAAGTTTATACCCAGTTTTTCCGGTTACGGTTTAGATACTTGCCAAATTTCAAAAAAAAGTTTGGTGTACCCAAATTATTTTTTATAAAATTTAACTCATACCTTTCTATTAATACATTTCTTAAAAGGTTGGGTATAACTTTTTTTTTTCCCAGCGGGAAAATTTAAATATTGGGCAAATTTTTAAATCCTTTGAAGGTTTCAGATTAAAGCCCTTTTTGCAAAAATAAGAAATATAAAAATGCCCAAAGGAAAGGACTTTTTCACGACAACAAAAAGAAATTTTTTGAAATCAAATTTTGTTTTTGGAGAAAAAAAAAGTTTAAAATTTTTTTGATTTCATTACAAAATTTATAATAATCCCTATATGTAAAAAAAATAAAGAAAAATTAATCCAAAAAATAGAAGCCCAAACACGGAAAGCATGAAAATTTTGGGGCCCTGAGTTTGATTATAAAAGGGTTTCATGGAAAGGTATTTGGGGTAACGGGCAAGCTACCTTTCCACGCCCCCCGGCACCGGCTTCGGGCAGATTTCAACATTAAACAGGGGAACTGGTACACTTTAGTTTTTTTAACATCTGGGGGATATGTTCATTTTTTGGCGGTTATAATGGAACCTTAAAATGTGACACTTTAAATTTGCCTTTTCAAAATAAAAAAGCGGCATTTTTCCCCCCAAAGTTTAAAACCTTTCTTTAAAATGGCCCGGGTTAAAATCGTATCATCCCATTTGTGCGTTAACTGGGGGGGCCGGTTTTTAATTTTACCCGCATTTCCAAAGGGGAAAATCCCCCTTTGGATTGGCTTTTTTTTTGGGGGGGTTTTTATTATTGTGACGGAGGGGAAAGGGGAAAACGACGGGAAATGTCATTTTTTAGATCCCTCGTTCTTGGGTTTATTTTTCCCCGGGGTTTTTTCATATTGTGCCCAACAGGGACCCGGTTTTTTAGGGTTTGGGCCTATAATACAAAAGAGAAAAAACATTAAAACATCGGCAATCTGATTTATTTCGGGGGCGGGCCCCCCTCGTAAAAATCGGGATAGCCTCGTTTTTTTCGATGCCTTTCTATTACTTTAATTACTTAAATCTTTTTTTAAAGTTGAAAATTTCCTCTCCCATAATGTATTTTTTTAAAGCATTTAAAGGGGGTTTTTTTCGTTTGGTTTTTCCTTGGATTTTAAAGTTTAAACGACCCCTGAGGTCATGTGAAAACATTCCTTTTTGTGTAAAAAAAAGACCCCAGATCCCCCTTTGGGTTGAAACTTTTTAAAGGACACGGGAAATTTGACTAAAAACCCCCACCTTCTGTAAATTACTTGATAGTTCCTCACATAAAAAAAATCCAAATTTTCATGTTTGGGATTTCAACTAAAAGCATTTAAAGGGAAAAAGGATAAATTCATTTAAAGGGTCGACGGCCTTACCCCGGACTTTGCCATTTAATTATTTTTTAACCTCCAAATCGGCTAAAACTAGAAAAAAGATTTTGGGTAATTGTTTTGACCTTTTTTTTTGAAACTCTATAATTTTCAAAAATTTTTTTTTTCGGGAAACTGAAAACGCAAATTAGGGGATGTCTAAAATTTTAAAAGAAAACGACTTTAATGTAATAATGAAAAAATTAATGTTTATTTCCAAAGAAGCATTCGAAATGACGCCATGATCATTAAATTTTTTTTTTGTTTTAAAAATGCTTTTGGGTTTGAGAAAGAGAAAGGTTTTAAGCATTCTTTTTTTTGGGAAAACTATGTTTTTGGTTTTTTTGTATTTTCCCCATTGCAAACCCAAACCATTTTTAAAATTTAAAATTTGGTTTGAAAGTCATGTAAATTTTTTTCACATTTTGTTTAAAATAGTTACTGAGGGGGATGAGATTGCACAATTTTTTTTACACAAACGGACGAAAGCCCCGGGCCAATAGCTCACAAAAAAAGAAATTTAAAAAGGTTTTTTTAGTTTTTTAACATTTTTTTTAAATTTTACCTAGGATATAGTATATATTTGAAAATATCAAAAGGGCAAACTGTAAAGAAAAACGGGGATAAACTTGTAACAAAATTTGGGGTAAAAATTCTTTGTCTATTTCTGTAACCTGCAAACAAATTTACCTCACTCTATACTGAAAATTGTTTTTTTTTTTTTTCCCAAAAGCATTTAAAAGAACAGGGAAAAAATGTTTTAACTGGTCATTTTTTCTTTTTTATTAAACGTTTTTCCCAACATAAAGGGGCTAACGTTTTGGCAGTTTATTTTTTTTAGGCAATTCATAAATTTAAAGTTTTAAAAATTGGGGAAAAATGCGTTGGGTTTTTTTCGATTTCCCAAAATTTTTTAAATGTCAAAACTGGCCCTATTTATGAAAACCAAATATACGGGTAAAAAACTTTCGGTGCAGAATTTTGAAGAAATATATGGGCTAGGTTTCGGAT